ATGGATGGATGGATGGAAGAATGAATTGATGGATGGATGGTCGAAGGAATGGACTGATGAATGGGTGAACGAAGGAATGAATGGATGAATGAATGAATGGATGGATGGATGGATGGATGGTCAAATGAGAAAAACCCTTAAAACACAGGAGAGAACCAATAAACAACATGATCTACTCACATATGACACCATTGCTGATTCTATTGCCACACTCATTAAGTTTTTAAACACCACAAACTCTCTCTCTCTCGAACATATATATTAGGCTCTTGTCTATCGTCAATTTTACATGAACCAAACTTAGTGTTATCAAAGAAGACCGCCTTATTGTCCATTGTTTCAATTAGGTTTGGCTCATGTGAAGTTCGACATTTGCCCTGGCATGAGCAGAATCTATAATATAAAATCAGTAATTTTCAAACTTACGATTTGAAAGATACAACAATATGGTTTGCCAAGAGATCTTTTGGCCACTAGAGCTAAGAGCATCACAACGATACATCCCTGCTTGGATAATTTTAAAACCTTGAATGATATAGATAGAACCATTCCTGGAGATCGAAGAACCAGGTGAAGTAATGACAGGTCTACCCTTATGATACAATATTGATGTTGATAAAGGATCTGTAGTTCGGCAGTCTAGAACGACTTTTTGTCTACTGAAGACACTCCAGAACATGCCTGGCTGCTTTAGGAATCTAAATGCTCCTGAAAATGATACAAGAATGATAGCATAAGTGGTGATCTACAATCATTTCAAGCAATTATTTCAAGGGGGTGGCTGGAAGGCATTAAATAGCATCATAATTTATTCAATTCCAATTCAAAAATATTCCATTAGAATTATTTTTGACATTTTTCAAAAACCACTTATCGGGAAGAAATGGTGCACAAAAATGAAACCAAAGTAAGGACAAAGAAAGGAAAATACGGGAGGAACAGCCAAATTTGTTTATCCCTTTGCAACACCACTCTCCCCCCAGTCCATCCTTTGTTCAGCAGTGTTTAGAAAAAGACCTTTCACTATTTGTAATTTAACTAATCCTCTAATCACTACGTGAAGTCCGAGGAATATTATTTTGAATCCAAATAGCAAATAAATCTGTTCTGAGTAATCCTAAATAGACACTAAATTAACAATTCTTATACATGAAAAAGACTAGAGCTATGAAGAGAAGCTAATTACTCTTTGTTTTAATCAATAAATATATTATTCACGGTGTGTTGTGAAAGGTATTCATACATGACACAAATCGAAACTATCGATATTGCGATAAGAATTAGGAACGATTCTTATCAATAATTCAACAATAAAACACTCAAATTACGACCGAATGAAAGCCTTATCTTGCAGATATAAAGAAGTGTTAGCCAATGAAAGGATTCATTTAAGAGATAATAATAATACGACAATAACTAGAGAACTCAATTAAGTGTAAGTTCGACTTTGATCTTAATAAGTGCATCACTTATCTTGCATATTGTATTATAACTCATTAGAAATAGATCTTAAAAAAGCGGGATTTAAAAACGTTAAGTATATATAAAATCTTGTACATACCAGCTTCATTGATGGCTGCTGTAGCCCAAATCAGTCCAATCGCCAAGAACGGAAACCAGATTCCTCCACACGGCATGTTTTATTCCCTTTCGATAGTCGTTCACAACTGATCTATGGATTTGTACCTTTTAAGCCTTTCAAGGGCTTTTTTCTTACAGTTTAAACCTCATTAGAACTTTTAAAGTCTTACAATCTTGACTGCAGCACTATAAAGGGTAAGAAAAATTCTTATCCAGTCAAAAACGTAGGTCAACAAGTAAACATAGCAGACTCCTAGTTGTCGGAAGGTCAGGCAACACGAGACAAAGGTGTCACTGACAGACGACCAATGAAGATGAAGACGTCGACCCACCTTTTCCTTCTGTCTTGATATTTACAGCGATGAAAAAATGTAATAATACCGATTCAATTTCAGTGTAACTTAGAAGTAAGCGAGAAAATTCCTCAAAATAAAAAATAAAAATGGTTTGAGTTGCAATAAATGAAATGGAGAAACAGAGGTCTTGTCAGTGGATGGTGGGGGTGGACAGGGGAGATGATGACACTGCWTTGAAGAATTTTTTCTTCTTTTGAAATAAAGAGAGTACAATACCAGGGAGCATTTATTGAAATGTTAGCACAGGAAGTAGTTTTTGTCTGTGGTTGGAGCCATTACAAGACAATTACGCAAGAGTTGGAGAACTAGTTTACTAAGGGAGGGGTGCGGATTATATTGAGTCAGTTCTTATTAGATTTCTAGGGCCCCAAGCCAAAGAGAAACCAACTCAATCAAAAGGATAAATCACGATATATCGTATATATATTCTAAAAGTGTAAAAAAATGACTTTCCTAGTTGTTCGTATGGTGAGCTTATGAGGTCAGTTTTATTTATGACTTTGGTTTTATCCATCACGTTTTCATGTTATCAGGCCTACTGAGAACATCTGGTAGGTAACGAAGAAAACATGCAGAGGCATATTCTACTTACCCACAGATCAAAAGAACGCTCACTCTGATCTTACAGCTTCTCATGAAAATAAAACTTTATCCGTTTGAAATACAAACAATTAGTCTTGTCTGAGGTCTTACATGTACATGTAACAGAGATTTATTATAGATTTTTCGTATTTTTAAAAAAGTTTAATGTTTTGTTCTCCGAACAGTTCTTCTCTGCATGATTTCCCATTTTTGGAATACAATCCATAGAAATAATATTTTTCGATTTTTGGAAGAATTCCACTTTTCGATAATCAGTGCTGAGAGAGCAGCACCAGCTTCAGTTGAATTGATGACGACATTTTTGCAAAAAAAATTATGCCCCACAACCTCATTTTAGCTCAAAGTTGGGTTGTGGTTCAGATTCAATCGAAAAAACTATAGGAAAATCTGTCAATCAAGTCAATGACGAAAGCCATTTAATTGACCAAAACTATTCCAAATATAAAGTAAAGTTCGGCTAAAAACGACAGCTTGCAAGTGCTGGCCACGAGTTTCAGTGGTTTTCCTCGTGTTGCCAAAAAAAAAAAAAAAAGAAAAAAAAAGGAGGCAAAGGAAAATGGACCACGAAGAGGAGTTTCCAGATGTTTTCGTTTGTCTATGAAGGCGACAGGAGACAGCATATTAAAAGCATCGGTAAAAATGTCAAAAATTGGTAACATTGAATAGGAAATGCCAAAACTCAGTCTATCTGTTTGGTTTGGGAAGTCATTAATTGTCAAGGACGCCGGGAAATGCAACTGCGGAGGTTTTATCTTTGTGATGTATCGTTCTTTTGAGCATAAACCTGCCTTTTAGTTTTACAGAGGGCTTATATCATATACTGCAGAAAAAGCTACACAGCCGGTTCATGTAGATTATATATTGAAATATCTAGTCGTTTTTTTTTTACATGAAGACCTCAATTTTGCGATAACGGTCATGACATTGATTGTCATGTATTTGGTATTAAAATAGCTCTAATAATATAATCTTAATCAATCAATTTTTATTTGAAGTACGTATAATGATCATAATGTCTTTGGGGAATATCGAAATCACTTTTTCTTTATGAACCTTTCTGGGAAAGGATTAGCAGATGAAAGATTCTGCTAAGTTGTAATTAATTTGTACATTTAAATTATGAATTCGTTTTTCGAATCGAATTTTTGCTACTTTGCTATTTTTTCATGCATTAATATATTCATTAAAATCTAAGAGGTTATGACCTTTCAGTGCTTGGAAATAAAACTCAGGGATTGTGAAGGAAAGTAACTGTAGGTAGCCGAACGAGCGTAGTACATCCTGCAATATTGCACCCATTAAACTATCAGTAATTGCAGTTTGAAAATGTGATTCATGTCTTTGTCCGGCTAGCATCTTTGGAAACTTGCTTGCAAGGCCTTGAACACACTAACTTGTAAATATTTATAAAACACTTTTTGTGACTCTACACTGCTGATTCATGTTGGTTGATATAGTTCGGTTTGCTAGAACTAAAAGAAGACTGAGGTAACAAGGGTTTCTTTTCTTTTTTCACTCGTTTCTTTCCAGTCTGGAAGAAGCTAGTGTTGCCGTTCACTTCAGGCTCAGTGATGATACCATTCACAGACGCAGTACTGTTCTTGCTTAAGTCATCGCTCCTGGTAAAAAAGGAGGTCAAAGTATTATCGAGTTGACCTGTTTAAACTTTCATCATTAGTTTTCTCAATGTTTTATTACTTAGTATTTGGTGCCTTTGTGGCCTGATTACCCAGGCTTGTTTTTCTAGTTGATGGTAAGGATTCAGCTGAAGTCAGGTATTCGTTGCTGGCTCGCATTGGTTCGTGTACTGCTTCAAGACAAGCTTCTTGGTTACCCTGAAGAACACGACAAAAGTATGAATAACCAACTGAATTACGGAAGGAATGAAGGAAAAAAATTGAACGAACGAACGAGTGATGGATGGACGGACGGATGGACGGATGGACGGACGGGTGCATGGATGGGTGGATGGGTGGGTGGATGGGTGGATGGGTGT